ATAGAAAGCACTATTTTTTCAACATGGTCGACACCATTAGATATATGTTTTCACCAGCAATGAATAAGAACCTGCATGCTGTGCTCGTAATTATCTACAACAGCATAGGTGACCTGCTGTTACCACTGCTGAGATGCAACACCCACTGCCTCATTGTGCTCACATCTACTGTTCAGTCTCCATAAACATTCAGCAAGTGTCAATGAATGTCAATGGATGCCATTTTCTCTGCATGGAGAAATTCAGTGACATACATTTGCTTCATAGGCAATTTCATGTCAGACACCATTTTGTCAGACTTCTCCTCTGCTGCCATCTGACACACAGCAACAAAATGTAATGGAATATTGGCACAAGTTCAACCCCTACTGACTTGCCACCAATATCTGTCTCTGACATTGTGGGCAAACACTATAGAAAGAGGCATTAATTTCAGAGTAGCTTTCATAAAATATATGTTATTGCTAATATATAAGTAACATCATATTTAAATTCTTAATATTTTTCTTAGAACATAAAAAAAAAAAAAGATAAACATATACGCACACATGCACACAAAGTCTATTTGAATATTTGACCTTTTTTTTTTGTGAAACTAACACACCAGTCTTGTTTGATAGAAGTGGCTGCAATTCTTAGTGAGGTCTCAAGGTGTTCATCAGAGATTTTTTGATGAAATTTTATTCTTTCTGTACTTCATCCTCAAAAACAGTTGTTCACCAATGGATATACTGCCAAAAAGTGATGACATGAGTAAGGAGTGACTGTGAAGTGATGGATATTGCTCTCTAATAAGACAGGGATTATGAAAATCTGGATTATGAAAGTCTTCACCAGCAAAGGCTCTAGCCACACCTCCCAAGCTGCAGAAAGCAAAGGTAAGAAATGGGAGAAGAAAGATCTGCCTGCTGTAAGTGAAGATCAGATGTGAGACCATCTAAAGAAACTGAAGGTGCATGACTCCATGGGACATGATGAGATCCATCTATAGGTCCTGAGGGAACTGGTGGATCAGGTTGCCAAGCCATTATCCATCATATCTGAAAGGTTATGGCAGTCTGATGAAGTTCCTATTGGAACTTTATAATCTCCATTTTCAAGAAAGGAAAAGAAAAAGATAGAGGGAACTGCAGGCCAGTCAGTCTCACCTCTGTGTCTGGCAAAATCATGGAGCAGATCCTCCTGAAGGCCCTACTAAGGCACATAGAAAATAACGACAAGGTTATTGGTGGTAACCAGCATGGCTTCACCAAGGGCAAATCATGCCTGACAAAATTGATGTCCTTTTATGATGGAGTTACAGCATTAGTGGATGAAGGAAGAGCAACAGATATCATCTACTCAGACAGTTTGACACTGTCCCGCACAACATCCTGGTTGTCAAATTGGAGAAAAATGGATTTGATGGATAGACCACTCTCTGGATAAGGAATTGGCTGGATGGTTACACTGAGAGAGTTGCAGTCAATATCTCAGTGTCCAAATGGAGACCAGTGACAAGAGGCATTCCTCAGGTATCAGTTCTTTTATCAGTGTTTTTTAACATCTTTGTAGGTGCCAGGCTGGATCACTCTGAGGGGCTCTGAGCAGCCAGGTCTAGTGGAGGTGTCCCAGCCTGCAGCAGAGGGGTTGGAACTAGGTATCTTAAAGGTTCCTTCCAAACCAAAACATTCTATGATTCTATGATTCTATGAAAGTCTGGTAAAGGGACATGGTCAGATTTTTGAGTTGAATATCTGTTTGCAACTCTGTATGTTGCATTAGAAAACTTGCAGGTAATGTATTTATATCTGCTGAAAATGGTGTTGTAACAATAAATCAATGATTTTTTTTTTTTAGTCTTAAAACCTATTTTCAAATTCCTTTATCAAAAGTGAAAGCACAGTTGAGTATTCTCTGCTCAGAGTACTATGAATAGCCAATGTATCAAAATGCTTAGAATTATTTGCCATCCCTTGAGTCAGCACTGCACAGCATTGCCCTCCCCATGCCTTGGTTTCTGTCAGGTGTTAATAGCCCACACACAGTTTGTCTATTACTGAGGGATGGGTGTGTGCCCAGGGACGCTCCATGGAGAAGAGCAGCCACTTTTATAGTGCAGGGCAGGGGTTGGGCTGCATTTTCAGTTGTGCTGGTCGCATACATCCTGTGGGCTGTGGGTTGGACATGCCCGGTATTTCCTTTTTCTGGATTCATTTCATATGCTTCCATGAGATGAGTAAGGACTTTCAGCCACATCAGAACCTTTACTCTGCTCAAAGTCCAACCCTGTGAGTAGCTTTTCTTGCAGATTTTGAAGTCACAGATTTCAAGTTGGAAAGAAAATGGAATGAAAATAAAAGGTAGATTGATAGGGAAAATGGGAAAACAACTCAGTTCTACATTATCAAGTGTTTTTATTCTTCTACTCCTTGCTACACTTTTATCATATGGAATGTGCATTCCAAATGAGAGAATTTAATTATACTGAACAGAAGCGCATATTGCAAAATTAATATATTTGTATTTATTCAAGGATTGATATGAAATAGATCTTGAAACTGAGTATCTATTCAGAATGTCATTTAACTATTCAGACATTTCCATGGTTCCTTACTGTCACTTTATTATCAACATTTTTAAAATATTATTCAACATTTTAAAATATTTCAATATTTTTTTAAATTCCTATAAATAAAAATTAATCATATGATTTTATAATCACTAATATAGAATTATTTAGAATGTTGCTTTTTATATTAGACATCCTTTTGTTATTGTTTTCTCTTGGTAATTGATTATTATATCCTGATGTATATGGATAAGGAACCTCCTAAAGCAAGCTGAGTACAGATGCAAAATCTTCTTTTTGCATCAGAAGATGTGTTTAAATAAAATATTTTTCTTCACAATCCAGAATTTCCAGTGATATGTCCCTGTTTCTGTTTTCTGATATAAAAAATTTATCTGTACTGTGCTGCATACATGAAATGTGCACAAAATAGGCCATCTTCACTAAAGCAGCCCTGGGTCATAAAACATGTTAAATAAAACTACTCTAAGTTTCAATAAAGAAATAATCACATATTTAAATAAATAACATGTAAAGACAGCTGTTTGATCAAGGAATAGTCTCCAGTAACAACATGAGCATTAAAAGAGTTGGAATGTTGTTAGATGGATCTCAGTAGCAGCTGTAGGGTGAAAAGAGAATGACCCATAGGTAATGTAGCATTCTGTTAAGAACCAAAGGAGCACAGAGAATGGTCTCCATGCTCCATCCTTCTCCCTCTTCGTGTACATAGAGTAAGTTCTCTAACAAATGTGCATCTGTAACACGTACTGTCAAGGGACATTGTTACAAGGGCAGCAGTCTGCTTTCTGCTTGCTGGAAGGAAACTGCATGACAAATGCTTTTCTGCACACGAATTAGCAGAAAACTCCCCAAAATCTTTGTGCTGAGTGAGCATAAAGATGAACAATCAGACAAAAAATGTACTCCAGTCAAGGCAAATCTGAAGAAATTCAGATATAAATATTTCATTTATTTCAGTTACAGTCAAATATTGCCAGCAGTATGACTCCTCTTCTGCAATAAGGCTTTATGAATGTGTATGCTTTTTTTGAGCATATGACTTTGTCATCCATAACATAGAGTGATGTAGAATAATGCTTTTTAGATTGGGAACATTTTTGTTATTGGATTCTCTGAGTAATTATTATATCCTCATGTATACAAAAAGGAACCTCCTAAATCAAGTGATTACAGGGCATGCTCAACCCATCTGACAGCATAATTTCCACTAGAAGTTATGAACAAAAGCAAAATCTTATGCTCACATTTGAAACAACATTTGTAAGAATATTGCCTAAGCGTTCAATATTTTTAGAAATTTTAGTGTTTACTGTTTCAAATTGAAGTTTCTAATAAAAGTAATTAAAAGGTGTGTTTACAGAAAACAGCAAATGGTAGGCATTTAATTTATTGTAATGAACATGTTAGCAAAGAATCAACATGAATGTGTGAAAATAAGACAAGATATTACTATAATATGTACTTGTGAATCTCATTCTATCTATACCAAAAATCTAATCAAACTACCTGGTGTAACAGATGCCCAGTAAACTAGGCTTTGCTGTTAAATTTGAAATTATCTGTTAATAATCTGTTGTGGTCTCTTTTGCTATCTGAGCTAGTTAGCCACATGTAGCCCATGTACTTTCTGGTCCTGTTCTTCACTTTCCATTCTGTTCTTCTTATGCCATACTCTGGCATCATTGTCCTCTCTCTCTCTTTTTGTTTAACTTTCTTATAGTTGCAACTTTTGTAGGTAGAAGCTTTTATTTTATATTGTTATAGCAGCTTTTTCAGAATAGGTATAACTGGTCGTTTGAGTACCACCGCACGTAGCAATATGTGATGTATTTTATTGTTTCATACTGAAAAAAAATGGAGTGAGCTACATACATTCCTTTGTCATTTGTAATAACTAAGTGGAAACTGGGAGTAGAATTCTTTAGTCTATAATGAGTGATAGGAGACACTGTTTCTATTATCATCTGCAATGTGCAATGACTATAACAAACTTACTTGTTCTGTGTACTGATCTGCCTCTGTTCACATGTTTCTTGTGCATACAGTTGTGCACAAGCAAAGTCTGAAGGCCAAATTTCTTGGGTTTCTGTAGCACTAAAAAAATCTAGTAATAACACCTCCATGTCTTTACCAATCTTACTACTTTCCTTATTACAAATTCTCCATGTAATATGAATAAGCAAATACATTTAATATTGAGGAAAATTATGACGGAAAGTAAGATTTTACTTACTGACTCATCTGTAGTGGTGTATCGCCTTTGACAGTGAGCGTTACTAGTACCTCTAGTAGCAGTTAAAAAGTACATGAATGGAAAAAAACAATAACAGACAGCAAATAACTTTCTGTCTCTATTGATGTGAATTAATTTCACAGTGTGGATTGACTGATCACAGCTTCTGCACTCTCCTGAGCAATTTAGAAATAAATCAACTAGAAAGCATTCCTGTTCTGTCCTTCAGTTATTTATTTATTTGTTTAAGCCTCTGGATCATACAGTGCAATTCAGTAATCATGGAGGTACTTCTTTTCTGGAAACACTGGTCTTTGGATGCTGATTTTTCAACAGTTCATTCCAGTTCATGAAGGTTCGAGTAATAGGGAGTCTCCTTCGCAGATTTTTCCTCCATGTATGCTCTGACAAGGCCTGGATGTTTTCCATAATGGCAGTATGAATCTTGTTGTCTTCGGCTTTCACGAACTTCACGAAATCTGTGACAAACTGGTTTCGGTCTACCACATGCAGAGACTCACTTACAGACTTGTTGACAGTTACATGGAGGTTAGCATCTCTGAAGTAGTGTAACTGGAGAAGAAATATCCCTGTAACTCGGGTCATAACTGGAGTCAGAGCAAAAGTCCAGTCAGACTTCCAAAGGCTGTTCCAGTGTTTTGAGGGCTGGTACAGATGAGCCTCAATGCAGGCCACTAACATCTGCCTCTTCCCCAGGCTTTTTTTGAACACACAGCAGTTCCCTGCAGGAAAGTGGCAGTTCACATAGGCATTCAAGCCCTTGTGGAGGGCTCCTCTCCATAGCTCCGCCTCATCTAGCATTACTCGATGCAAATGGGTTTTGCTGGTTATCCCACTCAAATGGTCAAACTCAAAGGAGAATTTATCTTGAGGGTAAAAGAAGCGGTTTCCCCCTAAGTCATTGTACTGAGTCAGTAACACAGTGTTCCCATTTACAAAGACAGGGGTGAAGTTGTTCTTATTGTGACGGGCCCCAGTGTGGGCAGCCTCCTGCTTCACCAGCTCATCATCTTGGAGCAGATCACAGAGATCTTGGACAACCTGCCTGAACTCCCCTGGAGGGGACTGGCGCAGCAGTCTGCAAATTAGGGACACTTTCTCTGACTCATGCAGCCCCTGCTCCACACTCATGATGGGGCCAGGGCTAAGAGAAAGATGGAAGATGACAGGTGAGGGGAGGAGATGCTGAGGGAACTGCCACAAGATAGTGGGAAGGGGGAGAAGTGTTGGAGTTCCAGAACTCCACAGCTTGTGACCTCACACATCTGAGCTAGTGTCAGTGGGGTCTGAGTGTGGGGAAGGAGCAAAGAGGGTGCTGGAACCCCAGCAGAGGAGCTGGGGTGTGAGGGAAGGAAAAAGGCCCCACTGGGAGCGGAGCATGCTGAGGTGATGGCCTGCCAAATGCTAGCAATGCCATGAAAGTGAAGAAAAAGGAGCTGGCAACGTGGAGCCACCATGGAGGAGAACAGATATCCTCCTCCACCTCCTTCAGCTCTGCCTCCTCTTCTTCCTCCTCCTCCTCCTCCTCTTGGTCTTCCCTATGACACGTGCCACTGTATAACTTTTTCCTGATGTGAGTATGCACCGAGGCCTGGGTCAGGCTTGGGCCTGCATGGGACCACATGGCTGAAGTGCAAGAGGACCTGAGCCTGCAAGGATGGTCTGCTTAGGGTGTGCTAGTTTGGGCTAGTTAGGCCAGTAGGGTGGGCACAGTGCCTCACTGCTGCTCCTTGTGGACACTCCTTTTCCTGCTGTCCCCCCTCTATCTCTCCACTTCTCCCTTCTCTCCCTCAAGGTCTTTCTTCACCCTGACTACTCTTCATCTTCCTGCAGAATCTCCCCATGTCTTTCTCTGGCTCTTTTCTGTCCCCTTTGCCCCCGGGTTTCACTGAGTGCAGAGCACAGATGTATTTCTGTGCTCCTCAGAGACTGCTGTATTATCAGAAGTCAGAAAACAAGGGGGTTTGATTACGAGAAGAAAAACATGCAAGCATTTTAGGTTTAAAATATTCTCTCACCTTGTTGAAATAGTGGCAGAGGTCAGACTTCTCCTTAACTTGGTCTCTTGTACGTGGTTTTTGAACATCATTCAGGATGACTTCATGAATGGGAAGATTGATTTAGATAGCACCGTTAAACTACTTGAAAAACTGCATATGCCTTTTAATCTCGCCCATGTGAAACATGTTTTCAAGGTGAGGAATATGTAGATTCAGCGATCAGATACATTTAGAAGGTCAGTTACATAAGGGTATTATATAAGCTGTGCTTTTAAATCATTTTTTAAAATTTAGTTTATTTTGTGAAATTAATTTCATGCTCATAGAGTGTGCAAAATCGGCAAATAATTTGCCATATCCAGATCCTTTGTTTCTGTATAAAACAGATAACTGAGTTGTTGCATGACCACTACCATTTCTGGTGTTGAGCGATAAAAATAAATAAATATGTAGGCCCTGATTCCCAACTGTATTGTAACAAGGTCTCAGTGGAGAACAATGTAAATATTCTGACTTCAACCCATAGAACTGCTTTTGTGATTGAGCTAATGAGTGCAGCCATGCCTGACTAATGCTGTTCAGAGGCATTAGAGAGATTGCTATCAACAATATGAAGGTATCTGATCTGTTCCAGCTTCAAGTCAACGTCAATCCAGCATACTTACTTACTCAGTTTTCCAACATACCTCTCTTGTGAAGCATTAAAGAGATATGCTTTGATATCCCATACATCCATAGCACTCTCGCTCCTGGGGAAGGATGTAGCCTTGAGATACAGCAATGATCACGGGTTTTCTAAGTATGCAAAATCAAACAGCTAGAAATAAGCCTTAATAATAGGGTAATTTAATTTAACTATTATCAGGTTCATGTGTTCCCACTGAGAAAAAACTGTAAAATGGAGTGCCTTTGGATACATTGGAATTTCATGTTCTTCAGGTCCATCCTATTAATTAATCAAAAATTATATAAATTTTTCTTCTATCTCTTTTTTTTTTTTTTTTTTCAAACCAAAATAGTCATTTGGTAAACCTGTTTTCCTAAGGAAATGAAACTCAGTGACGATTTATACATATGATATCTATGTGATAGTTTTGTAATCAGTTTTCTAATTCTGTCTGGATTTGATAGAGGAGAATTAGCTCTGGGAATGCCAAAAGTTTTAGGTCTTGTCATACTGCAGGGAAGGCAGGGAAATGGAAAGCACTAGTATTTCCTCATTCTATCTTGTTTTGTTGTTCTCTCTAGCCCAGGTGAAAATAGCAGCGTGGGCGCAGTCCTTGCTAACCATGGGGTTGTCCCCATGATTTTTGAATTTTTCACTGCATTGAGACAATTGCTAAACTCGAGAATTTCATGAGAACTTGAAACTATTTCTCATAATTGTCTGTTATTTTCCATTAGAAATCCACCTTATTTCTGACAGAAATCTGAGATATTTGATGAACTGTGGGTAGAGAATAATTATTTGGGGAAGTGATCCGCATCGAATAAGCTTGATCTAGCTATAGATACTCAAAAGTGTATACTCAACATACAATGTATTTGACAACTTGATCTAGTAGTTCTTAGCAGTGCTGTTAGGTATTCTTTATTTTCTGAGATATTTGGCTATTTTCAATAATTTTGGAACTCAAATTGTTCATCACTCTAACAGGATGTAAAATGCAAAATCTGGAAGGAATTTTTTCTGCCATTATTTTCACTAACTACACATTGATAATAAAATGACTATACATAACAAAAATCTATTTTGTAAGAAACATAGTTTTTAAAGAACAATTTACTTTGATTTATATTCTCTATACATTTACTTTACTGTAATGCTCCTTTGGGCGATATCAGAATTATGAACATAAAAGATTTTAAAGGAATGATAAATTTTAATGTACTTCTCAAAACTAAACCTTTGCCAAGATACTTTTTTTTCTGAAAAGATGTGATGTGCCTTAATGAAAATAATAATAATAATAAAAATCTGTCAATAAAAAAATTATAACTATCGGTTTTTTTTTTTTTTTTAACATTTTGATGAGATTTTCATAACTGTAATTTCAAAAATACCCCTGGGTAGTGTAGTTATCTACATTTCAGAAAGACAACGAAATAGAAAATTTAATTTTCTGGCCAGTTTCACTTTGTGCCAGTAGCTGAGAGAAGGTCTCCTGAGTCTTTGTGGATTCTTAATTTCTAAATGAGTTGGTATTTCCTTTTTCTGATTAACAGTTATGAGTAAATTTGCAGTTTCCTTAAAGATGTTAAAAAAATAGTTGAATGATATCAACCCAAGACTTGGGATTTTTCAAGCAGTAATAAAAAGCATATTATTAGTTTCCTACTGAATTATTATCTTGATTGTTACAATTTTTTTTTTTTTTTTTTACAAACTCAAAGCAAATGCTTCACTATTGTTACGTAATTTTTTTGAAATTTTCTTTTTAGCTTGTATTGTGTTCTTCTTTGTTGTTGTACTTGCACAGCCATCTCTCAGTGGGAACTCTACTGCATAGGAAAAAACTGGCAATGTAGCATTGGGCCTTTAGATTCTATGGTGTCCCTTCAAAACTAATCTAATCAGTAGTAATCAGAAGCTTTCATCAAACGGTACCAGAGTTCCACTTAGACATCTTTTATTTATGGACACTTTTGGGGAGGCTCTGCAAATCATAGCAGGTGTCATTATTAGGTGATGAAATCCAGCCTCCTTGGTAGTCTCATCTGAAGGAGCCAAAAGTTACAAATTTTAATTAGCCTACAGTGGTAAAAAAAAAAAAAAAAAAAAAAAAAAAAAAGTATATGATTTTTTGGCTATTTTTTTGAGTAAATTTCCAAAGTTTGTCTTAATTTAACAATAACAAATTTAACACATGCAAGCTAAACTGATGTAAATGCATTTCATATGCACAGTTACATATTTTGGTAGAAATTTTTAAAGGATACATTACATGAAAATTTGGTTCTTATTTCATTTTTCAGATCACAACTTGATGTACATTGTATGTATATTTAAAATACTATACTTACAATTTGGTTCAGTTTTAACACAGAAGGACAAATCTAAACATTGCAAATAAAAGAATATAATTTGATAATGTATTGTAGCCACTGTTGCCCTAAGCTTTCTCTATTGTTGTAATTCTTATAATATTATAACAGACTGGTTTATCTGTATCTTTTTATTATTGTATATCTTTGTGTTGACTGTTTTTATTTTTGTTTTCAGAAAACAGTCGACAAGCGGAAGATACATACTATTAACATGGAAGACTTCAGAGCAATTTATCGAGCTATTGTACACAGAAATGAATTTCATGAAATTTTCTGTGCTTACTCTCAAAACCGCAAATTTCTTGCTGACACCGAGCTCATTGAATTTCTCAAAAAAGAACAATTTAAAACTGAAGATGCTGAAATAACTGCCTTAGAAGTTATTTTGAAGTATGAACCCATTGATGAAGGTATGCATAGTTGAAGTATTTGATTTCTATCTCTAATTTTTTGTGCTTTTCATAGACAGTTTATACTGCTGAATACTCACCTGACTATGCAAACTGGACATTTAAAAAAAAAGTAATGTAAGCAAGAATATTATGTCTCTTGTATAATATCATTTGTAAGCACATGTATCAAATATAAGTTTGTTTTGAATGATCTGATCAGAAAGTTAATAGCTGTAAAGTGGTTAAAAGAACAAGAATCTTTACTCAGTTAGTAAACACATTTGTAAATATAATTATATATATTTTTTAAAATTTCTGATTTACATTAGAGATTTAAGCCAAATTTTTGTTTTTCTTTAACTGTGAAAAAATTGTTTATCCTGTTATTGGAAATAATACTGCTGAGTGAAATAATAGCTGTCTTGTTCATGCTTCTTTGACTGGACAAATACTCCCACTCAAACATATTTAGTAGAAAGTTCCAGATATGATTGACACGATAGTTGATTCATACGGTGTCGTGATATACCGTTTTGTGCAACTGTCATTCTGAATTTGGTGTAGCATATTCTTCATCAAGATGATCTGTTAGACTCATCTGCCAGCCTTGTCCTGTATTTTCGAAAAGAGAAAAGGGCAGATTTTGACACAAGATTGACTGGTTTGCTAATAGTAACAACATTATCTGATAAACTTAGTAGGACTGGTATGTCACGACGATGATAAAAGCAGTGACTAGATATATACAACATTAGTAAGTCAATTGTTAACATTTGGTCCATT